AAGCTCCCCCCTCCCCCCCTCTTCCTCTCGAAAAAGGGACCGAGCGACTAGAGAGGGATCCGGGGGCTTACCTTCGGAGATTTTAACAGTGACACTGGATAAATCAGCACGCGATAAATCGCCGAAAAATGCCCTCGTCATTTTTCACTGTGACAATGGAAATGAACCGCATGCGGGGAGCAGGGAAAATATCCTCCTTCGAATTTCTGAGTATTCTTGAAAAAATACCTTCCTAATTTTCCGGATTTTTTAGATGTTCTGAAAAATATCAGGCCAATTTTCCGGATTTTTAAGAAATCCTGAAAAAATATTTTCTTAATTTTCCGGATTTTAGAGAAATCTTGAGAAAATATGTTCATAATTTGAGAGGCTTGGAGGACAAAGCGATTAAGTGCGCAGTTTTCGCAACTTCGAGAAACACATGTGGACTGTATTCATGGTTACTCATTGAACAGCTCATTTCTTAATGTAACGTTAAAATTAGGGAAGGTTTAAAGTATGATCTACGCCTTGAGCTATTACCATCGACGGATCGAGGACAAAAAGCCTCGGACACTAAAGCGCATTCCACGGGAGGTGAAAAGTGAAAACTACGCTCGACCCCAGAACGTCACAATGGAGAATTTGCACGCAATTTTTTTATTGCTTCATCTGAAAGTGCCTCATGAGCTGAGTTCGCAATATTTTTCATAATTTTTTTCTGACATGGGAAATTGGAGAAAAATTGATTTAAAAGTGAGAAAATGTGCCGCCTTGTGACGTCATCTGGCGGCATTTCTCATTTAAACACATGTATTTTAGAAGATCAGGTTATTTTGTCATATCTCCTCTAATAATTGCTCAATTTATGAATCAAGGGTATCTTCGTGTTCAGTTCACTCAGAGGATTCCACTTGAACAGGAAATTCATCAAATTTCAGACCCTTGCAAATTCTCCATTCTTCTCGCCACGTTCGTAACGTGCGAGCGTGTGTTACTACTTACTTCGGCGCTCCTCTGACGTAAGGGCATATCTCGATTTCCACGTGAACACCGTTCTCCGTATTACTCCATGCTTCCCGAAGCTCATGTGGAAATAGAAATATGCTCTTACGTCAGAGGTTGCCGGGGAGACGGGAGCCATTAAACCGATATCAAGGGAGGCTACGAGAAAACAAGTGCAAAGGAGCTGCCGGAATTATAATCAGACCGTTTTCACCGAGTGTGGGGCGGGGAGGCGGAGGGGGCGGCATGCGTGCACAGACGGAGAAGTGAGAACCGAGTCACCATTTAAAACGCATTAAGCTCATTTCGGGAGGAAACCCGTCTTATTCCAATCTGACGCGGCAGACAGTCAGACGACTCACCCGCCTTACGCTACATTAAGGCGGAAGGCAGATCATTGCTGTCCTCATTACCGCCGTGTTAGAGGGAAGAATATCGTATCAGCATTTGGACATTGCCAAATTTACTTTGCTAATGTACGAATTTCTTAGGAAAAGGGGGTTTCCCGCAGTTTTCCAGATGAACTACAGTGTGCTGAAGGAGAGAACGAGCCTAGAAAGTTAAGTTCTCTTGGTCAAAGTTGTAGAAATAATGTGTGTACGAATTCAAAATCGAAACGCCTTCAATTCGAGTGATACTTCCAGCTTTGCCGGAACGTTAGTTTAGTTGCGTGACCTAACTTAACCCAACCTAACTCTCTTGTGATCGGTTCCCGAGCTCTGAGACCGATTAGAATAATAAATTTGGGCATTTAATTACTGCAAAGACATTTGTTCCAACGTTCCGGAATTGCTTCTTGTGTATTATTTCTAATAAGGACACTCATTAAATTGTTTTTCTTTCAGTTCTCCGTGAAATTTTTTCCCTTCGTAAGTTTGGTAGATAAGGGCTTTCTTGGCTCGACCGATTTTTTGAAACTCTGTTTCAGGGGAGTTTTTTTTTTTTTGACGGGAAACTCGAAATTCGTATTTGACCTCAAGACCAAACAGCTTGTCTGGTATTGTCATGTCCACAGGATGACGGAGGAAAGGCTGCCGAAGAAATTTTCTGTTCATTTTCAAAATCAAATTACCCTCACCTAATGTGGACCTTGAAATAGCCGCGCTCAACACTCATAAGTTGAAAATGCTCGTTAATTTTTTTAAAAAATATGGTTGAGCAATCTTTGCCGAAAATTTTGGTGACTTTAGTTTTGAGTCACGGGAAAAACTGTCCACATTTCCAGTCAAAATTTTCTTAATTCTAAGGGGGCCAAATTGACTCAAACTATTCAAATTTTTACTAGAATAGGACTGAGTGATTTGCGCCGAAATTTTTCCAATTTTTGCTCAGAATCACAGGAAAAATCTGTGAAATTTTCGATCAAAGAAATCTTGACATTACTTTTTGTGGAAATGCAATTTACAGGACGACGTTGAAATGTCGTCATCAATGCGTCTCGAGTTAGTTACGTTCTTCCGAACGGGAAATGACGTTTACTGCTTCATTTTTTTCAAACGAGATGACAAACAAGTTTTCTTGGATTTCAAAATTCCATGACTTCTCCGAGGTTTTGGGAGTATTTCCCAATTTTCTGTGACTGTTCAATGCGTTGTTTTGGCATAATTTTTACGGAAAATGATTTTCACAAAAACTTTCTGGCGCGAAGTCTCTAAAATTGATTCAACTCAAAATCCGAGAAGTCAAAGAAGAAAGTTCTAATTTTCGTCGATAGAGCGTGTTGGAGCGGTAAATACTAACTTGATGTTTTGGCTTTAAGGAAAAAATTTCAAGATTCCACAGCAAAATACCCTGATTCTTCCGGGTTTCACAATCGCTAATCAAGAACCTGTCATCATGTCAATGGATTTCATTAGAATCTCTTTTACCCGCAAAATTCAGGAGAAAATATGACTGTTCTCGGGAATGATTTTTTTTTTTATTGAGGGAATTTTGGCACCATTTGAAAGATCATACGGCGTTTTTCTTCAGAACGGTAGAGATGCTGGGACGGCATTTGGCGTAGCACGCCAAGGCAGTTGGCCCCTCTTTTCCACACATAATTCTGAAGGGAATTTTCCGGCGGGAAGATCACAGTCGTGATTTGTGAGCAGCTGTTTGATTCTCAAGACAATGAAAGGAAGGTGCGCCTGCAAGCACTTCCGATACTACCATGCGTACATGCAATAGGCAGCTGTCCATTAGTACTTAACGGCGATGCTGACTCTTTGATAATCGTATCATTTGAGCTCTAGATGCTTACAGAGGGCCAGAGAAAGAGAATATGAAAAGTTGGTATGCTTGCATACAAGCATATTTAAATTGATAAACAAAACTTAAAAAAAAAAAAAAAAGCAATTGCCTTAACCTTTCTGGTTGATCAGACGGAGCACTATTTTCCTGAAAAACTTCAACAAGGACAGCAAATTCGGCAGCAATTCAGGCACGAGGTGGACCCCAGCGCTATCGCCTGAACGTCTCATCGAAATCGATTTGAGCCCAGGAATTTCTAACCGATTTTGAACGAAAAATATGTTACCAAAAAACGGGATTATGTATCTGAAAAACACGAGCGACGATGAAGTTTTTGCATCTTGCAAGTGTTCGGAAATTGCGGTGTAATTACTTAGTCTCATGATAATTTTGCGAGAAAAACGATGGTGCCATTGGTTTTCTCTAAAATAAATTCCCAGGCTCAAAAAAAGTTCTCAAAGTTGCGGCCGTGATCGAAGTGATATCCCACGCTGTAGCCCACCTCTGTATCTTGTCAAATTCTCCAGACATAGTACATTAGTAGGGTTGCCACTTTGTTTGGGGACTCCAAAGTTGGAACTGCGGCAACCCTGCTGATGTATTCTCTCCCGATCTGTGCATGAAGAGTTTGACTAGGTATAGAAGTGGACTCTCGACGTAGTGTGAGATATCCATTCCAACATAGCATCAACTTTGAGAGCTTTCTCGAGCTTGGTAGCGAATTTCAGAGAAAACCGTCGTATTTTTCACGAAATTTTACATGAAGAGGTACTTCATATGCAAATTCCTGAAACATACAAGAACTCCATTTTCAGGTGACACAATCAAGAAAACATGCTCGATCTTCGAAGCAATCGTTGATCTGAAGTTTCGGCACGAGTCGAGCTTCAGCACTATCGCCTCTTTAACATCTGATCGATTTCAGCGAGGGGACGGCAAATCAGAGCGAATCTTCGTGGGCAGCATCCTAGGAATCCCTGTCCCCTCCCCCGGATGACCACAGTATCATCGCTAATCGGATAAGCCGTGTTTCTCGCCGGAGGCTGCGTTTCGTCCGCCCAACCTGTCCGTGGCGTCCAGATCGAAGGAGGGGGGAGCGGCTGAACCCGGAAACTGAATCAGGGCGAGTTACACGAGAGAGAAAGGAGGACGCGCGACGTTGGAGCGGAAATTATCTCCGGGGAGATGTTTCTGCGGGTGGATTAATGCATCCTCGGCTTCGAGTCCAATGAAAGGTTACTCTCCGACGGATTACGCGCTACACGTCGAGAGGAACTACAATAACCGGCTCAGTTCATAAACAACGTATGTATCATTAGTTTCCCTATGCAGTTGAGTGTTTTTACAGATGAGCCCAACATTGTGGTTCCAAATTGTATAACGTCTTCCGTTGCATCGTTCCTGAGACGAGGGATCATAACAGCATGCATTTCAACGTTGTTTTGATCCGAACAAATCAATTTTCAGAGGGTTACAACTGTGCAGTTTTCGTTCATATTTTTCTGATTTCGGCGTGTAGTCTGAGGAAAAATCAGGGCAATTTTCAGTTAGAGACGCTCAACAGTTGTCTGGTAAACATACAATTTGCCGTTGATTATTTTGCAACCCTGTGCATTTCAGTTACGATCCTTCGACTGAGGGACGACTCTGATTACACGCAATAATAATTTGTTGGATAATATGAACATTCCCAATTACTTTTAGTAAAAATTTCAAAAATTCAGGCACATACACCAATGGGAACATAAAATAAGGATGTATATAAGAAGGAGTGAGAAAATTACCTCTTCGTGTTCTCGGTCGAAACGCTCTTTTTTCTTCATCGCTTCCTGAAGTTTTAACTGCAAACAAACAATAGAACTGAATGAATCATCATCATCAAAACAAACAAAAAATCAGATTGCTAAACTTTTTTGAAAAAGTCCCAAATGGATGTCTTAATACATCATGGAGAAAGACCTTCGGTTCAAATTAAAATCTAAAGTTTTCAGTCGAGGTAACTAAATTTTTCAGTCATGGGGACCGAACTTCCTCAGTTAGCCGAAGCTTTCGCTGACCAGTAAGCCTCGTATATTTTACGAAAGATTTCGGCCATCTGAGCTGAAATTCAGTTCCTAGAGCTAGAAACTTTAGTTACCGGGACCAACAACTTTGGTGTTTCATATGGTCAATCCTCATAACCGAAGTTTATTTCTCTGCAACATGCGTCCGGATTTCATTCCTGCTCATACGTTTCATACATGTTCCATGCAGTTGATTTATCATTTGATCAAAACAGGGTTGCTAATCAATCAATAATGAGCAGAATAATACTGAAGGGCTAAGAAAATGCGAGAGCGTCTATAATTGCAGTTTTGGTCTGACATACATATAAAGCTTTTAGAATTAGAGACGGAATACTTGGAAATTAAAAAAAAAACAAGGAGAAACATCCAACATGAATATGTTGGAAAAGCGTGCCGAACAACTGAAATTTCGGAGACATGAGCTTGAATGAATCGCTGAACCAAGAGCTAATAGATCGTATTCGATACATCAAACGGCTGAGATTGTATCGATATCGATTGGTTCAAAATATAAACATAGCCTCAAAAGTAAATTCAGAAATCTGAGAGAACGGGTCTTTTGTAATAGATTTTTTATTCTTTTGCGTACCTAATGCCAATTTTAAGTGAAATTGTTAGGAATTTTCTCAATTTCAGCTTTTCCAACTCAAATCCTTACAGTTTGGTTTGAGGTTATGTGCTATTGTTTTGAACCAAACGATACATCGAACCGTTATCGAATACGGTCTATAATATCAGCTGTTTTGATACGGCATTCTATCATGGAGTAATGCATAGGGCTCATGTTGTATAGTCAATGGGTACGAAGCACCCATTAAAGTGCGGCGGGAAAAAATATTCTAGATTCAAATCGCTCTAGCGTAAAAAAGGGTTTTTGAAGGATCTGTCAAATGAAATAATACGGTTTTGACCGGAAAATGTTCTCAAGGGTTTCCAGTAACAGAATAATTCGGTTTCTCGATGAATGACCTTCAGGGCTTGACACTATAACGGTTCAAAAACGAAAGAACGGATCCGACGGAAAAAAAATTCGGACCGCCCCTTGAAAAGCATTGGTCGATCGGTGTGCTGTACTACAGTACATCCGAGTGATTTCAAAAAGCGAGCCCTATAGGCACGCTTAAAAAAAAAACTTCTCCGCGAAGTCATCCAATATTATTGAAGGATATCATTTGAAAATATGGTTGCTTAGCAAAGAATTTTCGGATATTTTTTCCTCTCTTGACTGTTGTTTACTTTGACTTCTATTCCGCTAGGTCCTACAGGCACCAGCACCTAGGATGCTATTTAGTGTCCGCAGATACCAGGGATTGCACATTCATGCCCTTCGCTTTCAAAATTAACAGGGATCACTGCCGGATGGAGTCGATTTCTTCAGATCTACTTGAAAATTCCGTGAAACTTTATAGCCACTTCCGGGATTCAAGCCCAGGACTTGAAGCCAGACTTGTTGACAACTGGGCTAACCTCTCTGCCTTCGACGTTGCAAAAAAAGAGAACTGGAAACTTTAGCACTTTATCTCAAGATCAATCAATATTTATTAGGTTATTTACAAGTTGAAACTATGACTTTATCTCAAGATGCCTTAAATTGTTTCCTTGTTTTTTTATCTCATTCCCTTACCCTGCCTACGTGAGTCCTGCCATGCCAGTTGCCTGAAAACGAAGATTGCTCCTAAAAATTCACAGCGCGTGTTGCTGTCTTCTCTCACTTGGGGTTCTCGGCGCGATCGAGCACTCGAGTTTTCACCGCGATTTCAGGGAACACTGATAAAGTTGAGCTGATTAGTCAAGCTCGCCGGCCGGCGGGTGTCGCTTGCAGCAGAAATTACCCATATCCTCGTTACACCTGGCCCATGACTCCTTCCGCCGACAAAAACGCACGCGTTTTGGCTTTCAGCGAGCGGGGATCGTTAGGGCAACCTGCCGAAAGAGGGCGCTACGGTCGCACCACCGCACCAGTGGGGCTTAATGGCCCTTTCCGACTTTTCATGATAATAAATAGTTCACAACGTCCGCCTCATAGTACTAACTACCGTCATCAAATTAACTTTCTTAACTCTGGAGCGCTTACAAATATGCTCTTAAATCGACGCGCCTGAAGACCGATGGTCAGGACTTGAGCCATAACTCAACGTGTTGCGCCGTCGACGAGGGTGAAAACTTCGCCCGAAAATAGTGGGAAGGGGAGGAAAGAAGATTCAAGAGCGGGGGCAGCTAAACTGTGAGTTGAAGCTAGCGGAGGGAATAACTCGTGATTTAACTGATTTTCAGTTGGAAAAGAAAGGAAAACACGACGAGGCAATAAAAATAGAAAGGGCGGAGGAGCGTTTGTTCCAGCAAGGAGACAGCTGTGCGCCTGAAAAGATTGAAAAGAAAATAAGGGACGTTTTGTAAAACTAGTTTCAGTTCGACTTCAAAAGAGTGGGTGAAAAAAAGAGGAAGAAAATGACGCGCAGTTACAATAGGCGAAAAAAGGCGGCGAGTTAAAACATAAGAAAAGGCATGCATGCACGGTGCTTTATTAATGTAAGTTCCATCATTAATCGTCAATTAGAGTATAATGGAATGTAAGCTCTGTTTTATTTGGCGAACGGTTCTGGCAGTCATTCGGTACTGTCAAAAATCATATGACTTAGTTTTTCTTTTGGTGAGGTCGGTACAATTCAAAGTTACTTTGGGGGTCAACGCTCAGATTCGCCGAAGGATGGTTGATAACCAAAGAGTTGCTCATGCAGCAATTTTTTTGCAATTTTGTTGCTCAGCAAGTTGTTCGTCAATTATCACTGGGCAAATAGTAGCTTTGACCTTTAAACTTAACTTTAGCCTCAGCCGATTACATTGCTTAGAATGTTAGTGCAAGATCTGCAAGATATATTGCCTCTGCTGGTAACCGCATTCTTCCTAGACCTAGGTTTTCAATTTTATGGTGCAATTCCGTTAATTCGGCTCTAAAGAATTACTAAAAGGATACCCAAATTGATTTTTTTTCTATCTTATTCTCTTGACGTTAATTCTGGAGACCACAACGTAACCGCCATTTATCAAGGTCATATCGACAGCCACAGTGCTGAACCATGTTTCTTCATCGCGGTGCTTCAAAATTTCCGCTCATGTTTTATTTTTTCAATGAGAAACAAGCCAACTTAATAGCTTGAATTTTAACAGAATATTCTACTGATAGAGACAAAAAATAAAATAAAAAAATGTAAGAAATTACGTCAACTAGTTTTTCGACGAGATTATTAAATATGATAGGAAGTTAGCAACATGACAAAATGAGATGCGTGGGTTCGCACTTTGACAATTATAGCCAGTGTCACATCATCAAAATGTCAAGGTCAAGTGCTGTGATTGGTCCAAGTCATCGAATAAGCCAATCACAACACCTGACCTTGATATTTTGATGGCTAGTTCTGATAAAGTGACACAGGCCAATCGATACACACGAAAAAAAAATGGGGGATATCCTCCACGTGCGAGTGGTAACGGCAAAAGCTGAAAGCCCCGTGTTCCACGGTTCTGCACGTGCGGCGAGAGCGGGAAAGAGTGACACCGAACAAAAGAAACTGATTGTGAGAACATTTTCCGAGGCGAGATGGCAGAGAGGAGAGTTGCCACGGAAACGGGCGGGGACCGGGGCGGGGGTGGCGGGGCGGGAATTAGCGAAAGGAAAGGGCTAACGTCTAAACAAGCGCGATAACAGTTGCACTAGTCGAGAGGGGTAATAAGTAGATTTAATTGTTGTTTAAACGTCTGAGCGTATAAAGCGCAATGAAAAGGACTAATCCATCATCGAGTCGAGAGGGGGTGGGGGGGGGAGGGAGGGCGCGCGTCGGTGCCTGCTAAAAAGATGTTTCCCCGAACAACAACATCCATCGTTGCCGCATCAAGAACGAGGAGGATGATCTACGACAGCTACGAGGCATCGAAGGGTTTCGCGAGTGAAGGGATCACAGGGACACCTACACACTCGTATGGAACTAAAGGACCTGTCTCATTAAAAGCACTTTTCTCCTCAGAGCTCAAATTTGAAAATATCCTGTTCTCCCTGGAAGACTTTCTCCCTTAGCACTCGAGGGTAAATCTGTAAGGTTATCATCAAAAACATATGGATGTACGAAAAAGGTTCACCTTCCTTTTTCAGCTCATTTAACCGGTGATAATAGGATCTATCGCGGTAATTGGTAGTTTTTTGCTGTTCTTCCATACCTGAATATTTATTTAAATACCAGCGCATCCTCTGGACAACTTCTTCTTCAATTACGTGTTTTAAAAGCACGAAAAATGAAGGTGCTGTAACAATACGCTCGTACCTAAATACTCCATGAAACACAGAGGCATCGTCATTTTCGCGCGAAACCGAGACAACAACAGCCAACTGGGCTAAAAAATTAAGGTTAAACTAATCCGCACATCCACTTTTTATGGAAGTCTTTATTATACAGATTGGACACATGATTGGTAACAAAGAAAATTTACTTTCGAAATGAACCCTGGACGGTGGCAGTTCCTGAAAGTTGGCAACATTGTTTTTCCTCCATTTAAATTAGAAAAAAATGACTGATTCTTGGTGAGGCAGCTTGCGCCACCTGAAATCGATATTTTTATAGGATTTAACTGAAGGAAAAACAGTGTTGTCAACTTGCAAAATCGCCACTGACCCTAGAGGTGACAGAAAGTAGCTCATAATGGACAAGTCCATTTGTTAAAAATTTCCCTTTTTAAACTATTTCTATTTACTTGAAAACGAAAAAAAAAACCGCATGAGATCA